CTGGGGACCTGGGTTCGAATCCTGCCACGAGAGTTGGTGGAATTTGAATTAAATATCTAGAATTAAGAGTCTAATGATGACCATGAATCCATTGTTGATTGTTGGGAAAAACCCATCTGGTTCACTAATGCCCTTTAGGGAAGGAAACTGCCATCCTTACCCAGTCTGGCCTACATGTGACTCCAGACCCACAGCAATGTGGTTGATAGGCCATAAATGCTGCCTAGCCAGCGACGCCCTCATCCCGTGAATGAATAAGAAAAAAAATGAAATGTATTGACAATTAAACAAAATCACTAGAGAAGATGTGCCCAGCACCTCAGTGCAAAACATAAGGATGGTGCATTTACAAGCATCTTCTGCCAGAAGTGTCAAGTAAAGGATCAACCTCGGTCTCCTCCTGAGGTTCCCAGCATCATTCATGCCAATCTTCGGCTCAACCAATTCAGTGCATGTGACATTAAGAAATGGTTGGAGGCACTGGCTTCTGCATAGTCTATGAGCCCTGAAAACATTTCAGCAACAGAATTCAAGACTCGTGCTCCAGAACCTGCTGCACCTCTCGCCAAGCTGTTCCAGTACTGCTGCAACACTGGCATCTACCCAACAATGTGGAAAATTGCCCTGTCCATAAAAAAAAGGATCAATCCGCATTGGCTGATAGATTTGGCTCGTCCCAGGCAATCCTGGCTCTCTGCAGCATTCTGCCCTTTGCAGGGCTAATCCAAATCTCTGCTGCTTGTGCCCTTGCTCTCGCCAAGGCTCCTTTGGCCGCCACCCCTATATTTGCTGGCCAACAATCCCAAAAAATATCCACACTCCTTCAATTCTGGCCTCTCCAATTTGCAATACTTAATAGTTGACGGTGCCTTCAGCTGCAAAGGCCTCCTACACTGGACTAACTTCCCTAAAGCTCCCATTTCTCTCCTTCTTCTATCATGGTCCTTATGAACCATTGCCTTCACCAAACCTTTGGTCACCAAACTTAATGGAACCTAACGTGGCTTGGGGCCAAATTTTGTTTGATTACGCTCCTCCACGTTTTGGGATGGTGCCTCCTACTGAAGGTGCTATACAAATGTAACATACCCTCAACGTCATGGAGTGTTTTATGAGCAATGGAGTAGGCTTTGGAAAACAAGAAGCTTTAATTAAACAACTGGCACCATCCTAGCTGGATGTTCAAGCTGTGGATGAGGTTATTAAAAGCTCCGCTGCAAAACTGAACAAGCCTGGTTTAGATTTACTACATCTCAATACCCAAACAAGAGCTCCCATAACCCAGGGAACACGTCCACTTGGTCTCTAGCAGATCGTACCTTTGTTGTGTTTCTCAGCTTCTACGTCCTGCTTGTTACCCTCCAAGCTGGGATGCAACATCAAACGACCTTCCTTCTTGGATCCCTCAAGACCCAATTTCTGCGAGAAACAAAACAAAAAACAAAACATCAGGTCTGAGACAGCCAAGACAGAAGCTGAGGTGCCAGCCCTTGTGGACTGACTAGGGAGAAAAGGTGGGCAGTGGGGGATGGGTGCGAAGAATCCTGCTCCTTTGGAACATGCTCAACATCAGAAGGTCCCCTCCCTTGAATTAAGGGTGTGAACAATTTGAGGTTAGGGGCAGGTCAGCAGGAGGCTTTCAATCCAAAGTCCAAGTGTATGAATCCATATTGTGGACTCTTCTCTGAAATTATAGACAGGAAAGCCCTGTTAAACCCAATGAGGCAGAAAGCAAGCTCTCTGTTTGAAGCTGATTGTTTAGCCAATGTGCTGGAGAGCCACCAGCGTAACTGATCCGATCAGTTAGAATTTGCGCTGGTTTCACATCTAAATAGAAGAGTTAGCTGAACCAAGTTACTCATGTTTTCTTTAAGCAAAAGATGCGTGGCCTGTTTTCCTGGTAAATTCAAAGCCAATTGGATTCACGATCCTTATCGCCTTTGTGACTACTTTAAATTAGAAGAGGAAAGAGAGCTCAATCGCCCAAGACATTTAACAAGCGAATGAACCATTCAGATCAGGAAGATCTCCATTTCATGGTACCTATGCACTGTGTCAATCGTTGGTGGCTGGGTATGGGAATGGCAATGTTACTCAATGTTGGCTGTCCCTTAGGTTTTGGGGGAAGTGATGGGACCAGTGTTAAAATAAGCCCTTGATCCATTGGCCCTTACTAGAAGTGGACATGTTTCCAGGCCATTTCATTGGGCTTTGGCTATTTGACAATGAAAGCATCACCATTGGTGACAAATCCTTGTCAAGACAGGATTAAAGAAATGAGGCTTCCTTCTCCCCAACTAGACTGGACAAAAATCCATTTCCCAAAGCAGGGATGGTGACACTATAATCCCTGTGTGACCCTGCACTACCACAAATTCAGCCAAAACCAGTCAGTAAACAATACCTGTAATTCAACAGTAACTAGCTCCCAAATTTACTAGCCTCCTCTCTGTACTATGGCCGCTAGAAGGTAGAGCGAAATCTGATGATTGTTTAATGGAACAAAATCCTACAAAAGGCCTGCATGCCTTTGTGACCACTCCTTACAATTTTTAAAAGGTGAGCAATTTATAAGGAAGGTTCACAGACATTGTATGGCTTTTGTTTGTTGCATTCTGTCCCTATCCTGATGGAAAATTCGAAATGCACAGGAGTAACAAAGTTGTTTTGGATAAACTCAACAACTGCACAGTTCCCATGGCTGCCCACCTTTATTAGCCAAAGATGATGATCCCCATGATGACTTGCTACTACTACATCTCAAATGTAGCGAACGGCGCCTGCTACAGGAACCCTGCTGAACAAATCAAAGTGCCCTGTGTAATGGTCGATTGAGACACTATGCCCACAGTTTGATGAATCACACATTAAATTCAAAAGGAAATACACCAAATTACAACACATCGGCTACAACAAACAGGCATGAAATAAGGAGTTTCCAATTATCAAGTTATGACTGACTTATTAATAGAAGTTTCTGTTCACTTATTACTCTTGTTGCCTCTGATATGTGCTTGGATCCTGATCTGACAATGCCATGATTTTTAAATCTTCACCCTTCTTTCCCAAACCCTCTACTTCCTCACCAGTCCCCCTTAACTCTGTCATGTCCTACAACCCTCTGGGACCATCACACTCTTCCAATTCGGGCCTCTTGTGCCCTACCCCAAATTTCCTCCCTCTGTGCTGCCTCAGCCTCTTGGGCTCCAGGCTTTCCTTCAGGAATGAGGCATAGAGATTTAAAGCTGCTTCATTTGATTAAACTTTTGCTTTACCTGTCTGAAGTGACTAAATCTTCTTTGAAGCACCTTGATACGTCTTATTGAGTTAAAGGTGCTCCAGGAATGCAAGTTCTTTTTATTATGTTAGCAAATAACAGTCTGCTCTTACATTAAAAACTTTGAGGAGATCAGCATCATCCTGTGTCTAGTAAACCTGATTTGGGTCTCCTGTATTATAGAGACACTCATTAACTATGCTGCCATGCACAATTGATCCATATCAGTATAACTGAATGAGAACTGCTGTCACCATTATTCCATGCACAAAGACTAATGTCAACACTGCCTTGTGTTCCTTTGTATTCTGCTTATTTCATGCCTTGAAATCACATGAGCAGGACTAAATGGATGGGAAACCACAAGACTTGGGACTGATGTAGACAGTGGCCTGGCCAGCCACTTACTGCCGTGCCTCCTTCCATTCTCTTCATCTCCAAGGTTGTCTTCCCTTTCTCCGCCTGCTCCCAGATGTCCTCGATAGAGTACGCCCAGAGGCTGCTCTCAGTGGGAAGAGGAGGAACTACAGGCAGCGACCCTTGAGGCAGGTAGGACTGTGGAAGGGGAGGTCGTGGCGGGCGGGTTTCCTGAGACAAAGAGCGAGCAAAGCATAAAGAGTAACTGCAAAGCCAGGAAGACAGTGAGTGAGCAAGAGGAGTTTAGTCTTTGGAAGGCTTCACCTTTGAAATGAAGCAACAAGGAGGAGCTCAACGTTTTAGTGAATACGTAGGGTTGTATCTTGGTGTATCCTTTAAATGTTGGTGTGCATGGTTGGAGGTGAAACAGTTCTCCATTGGTTCTCTTTCTCTCTGACATATAGAATCATAGGGATCTCCAGCACATTTGGAGCTGGATCCAAGTCTACTTCAGTCAAAAACAACCACCTAACGATTCTAATCCCATTTTCCAGCACTTGGCCCATAGCCTTGTATGCCCTGGTATCGCAAGGGCACATCTAAATACTTCTTCAATGTTATATGGGTTTCTGCCTCAACTACCCTTACAGGCAGTGACTCAGTCACTGATACAGGTCGCTAATTCATACGGGTGTGGGGAGGTTGGTGTTTCGGACACTAGGTGGTCACCTGACATTTTATGCAAGTGGTCATCATTTATATACAGTGTAAGTGGCTACCTGAATATTTGCAAAACAGATGAACCCCATTCTATCCCTAAGAGTTACCTGTCCGTACACACTTCCGAACATTGGTCACTGGGTAAAGATCAGGAGGACACACAGGTTTTAACCTTCAGTCTCCTGGAAGATTGATGGTTAGACAAACTACGTTGGCTCAACTGTTGCTTAGACACTGTTCACTTCTGAGCCCAGCTGGAGTGCAAGATACTACCTAATAGGTACCGCACAAGCTGTCTGCAAATTCTTTCTACTCTGCACCAACATGTCTTACAAGCAGTGGCTTTGCAACATGCCTGACAACAGTAGTTTTCAAACTCTTTCATGTGCGGAATCCTTGCAAATATTAACACACGTCTAGGACTCCTCATCCTAGCTTCTGAGTGACAGAGCTAGCTACCTAAAGGGAAACTGGAGATCTCTTTGTTTTAGGAGAATACTGAAGTGGAAACAACAACATGTGCAAATGAAAGGAGGCAGTCAGAAACTGTATGGCTATTCTAGAACCCCATTGTGTGGCCTGAACAGTTTTTTCTTTTGCCTCTGAACTGCTGAGCGGCAGGAATTAGATTGGGACTGTTCTTCTCCTTCCCCAAATCCTATCCTCAAAATTATTCCAACTAGAATCCTTGTTCAGGAGAATGGGCTTCCATCTCAAGTGGCTTGGGTTGAGCCTTCCCCACCTCAAGTCCTGGAAGTGAAAGGATAGAATGAAGGCCACACCTGATTGTTTGTTAGTACAACATGCAGTAATTAGAGAATGGCTGAATAGAACATCATACAGAAACAGCATTCAGATGACGTACCAGCACGGTGGCTCAGTGGTCAGCACTGCTGCAGCACAGTGCCAAAGACCCGCGGTCGATTCCAGCCTCGGGTGACTGTCTGTGTGGCGTTTGCACATTCTCCCTGTGTCTGTGTGGGTTTCCTCCCACAGTCCAAAGATGTGCAGGTTAAGCAGATTGGCCATGCTAAATTGCGCATAGTGTCCAGGGATGTGCAGGCTAGGTGGGCTGGCCATGGAAAATTCCTGGTTACAGGGATGAGGTGAGTCTGGGTGGGATGCTTTTTGGAGGGCCAGTGTGAACTTGATGGGCCAAATGGCCTGCTTCCACACTGTCGGGATTCTGTGATACTGCCACAACAGGAACACTGGGATCATTTGCCAAATTACTGACTGGAAAGTAACAGGATCAGAATCCCCTCCTTCTTATTTGTGTTTCTTTTCCATCCTTTTGTCAATTTCTTTTCAAATTCTTTTATTTTCTTTCTTGTGGCCCTTGGCTCTCCTATTTCCTACTTTTTTGTTTTAATTCATTCATAGGATGTGGGCATCACTGGCTAGGCCAGCATTCACTCCCCATCCCTATTGGGCAATTGACAGTGAACCACATTGCTGTGGGCCTGGAGTCACATGGAGGCCAGACCTGGTTAGAATGATAATTTTCTTCCCTAAAGGACATTAGTGCACCAGAAGGTAACACAGTGTGGAGCTGGAGGAACACGGCAGGCCAGGCAGCATCAGAGGAACAGACTTTAATTCTTCGCAGGATCCACGACCTCAACTAAAGATTTTACTCTGCCATATCGGACATTAAAAGCTTTCCTGCTCCTCTGATGATGCCTGGCCTGTTGTGTTCCTCCTGCTCCACACTGATGCCAGCATCGGCAGTTCCTACTATCTCTGAGTGAACCAGATGGGTTTTTCTTGACAATCAATCAGTTGGTTATCATTAATTTTTAAATCCTGGTGATTGCTTCTCTATTGTTGGTTTCTGGGTAAAGGACGAACACTAAAGACAAAATGATTAAAATTGGATGGAACTTTAGGTTTGCATTTAGAGAAGGGGTTTAAAAAAGGAAGCAGCAGTGGAAGATGGGACCCTCAACTGTCTAAATCATTGATTGGAGATTAATATGCAGGCGTTTTAACAATTGTTAAACAGACACTTTTTTTTTTACAGAACACAGTTACTCCTCCACTGCTAGGTATAGGGAGTAAGGGGATGGGAAAGAGTGAAGGGCAGTTATGTTTCTAGAGGACAGTAGGTCGCATTGAACAGTACAGATATGATCATTGCAACCGTGCTTGATTACTTTTAGATGTTTTTAACCAACCTATTCAGACATGTTATGGCAGCAGACAGGACTTGAACTCTGGGGCATCTGGTCCAGAGGTAGGGACACTACCACTGTGCCGCAAGACTACTCCTTGATTGTTCTTAAGCCATCAAGAACCAATTATGTTTGCTTTCCCTCACGACGATAGATAAGCTAGAGTCGAAGCCATGGTCAGAAGGTGCGGGCTTGATGTTCTCAGTGGTTATTGCCAAACCCTTGTTTCCTTGTAATTTGAAATGGATCAACTGGTTTCTGGGTACCATTCCATGCCGATGGTTTTGATACAAGCTCTGGAGAAATCATATTGGGCTCAAAACACTGACTCTGTTTCTCTTGCGACAGATGCTGCCAGACCTGCTGTGTTTCTCTAGCACTTTGTTTTTATTTCAAAATTTACTTGTGCCACTCGATTACAATTATCAGCAGACACAACAGTATGACTCAACATCAGCACTCGCTCACAATAGCAGGGTTAAATACAATTTCTGTTAGGTCTGATATCCCATTAATTTTAAATGCTTTTCCAATGCTTTGGTTAAATACCAATTACCACTGGCTGACAGCACAAGGGAAATGGATCAGAATGCTGGTAAGTTGTGAAGTTGATACAACCAATAACAACCCATTTCTCGCACACTGAAAATATGCCCTTTCCAGGGCGATGGGGATGTCACTAAAACCCGCTGTTCTACCACAAGAACGGGTTGTGGTTTGTCCGTTCTGAGTCAGGGCTCACAGGGCTTACCTCCTTGGCTGTCTGCTGAGCAGAAACCTGTGACTCAGAGATGGGGGAGAAGGGGCTCAGTGGACTGGTGAGGCTGGTGGAGCTCAGAGGGCTGGCAGGACTGTTCGAGTTGAAGGTGCCCATTTGGGCACTTGTCGCTGTGAAAAGAAAGAAGAGGATCGTGATTAGAGAAACTAAATATTCATTTTCCGCGCACCACCCACAGTTTACGGAGCCTATCCAATTTTCCGGGTATCTTGGCACATCATCTGGAAAGCACTACCCATAACTACTCAAAATCACCACTATGTGTCCTCAAGAAATCACCGCAAGAAGATGGAACGCTAAATTTTCTATTATGTGCCTTCATCATAGATTCACTGTATTGAGTCTACAGCAATGGCAGAGTTAGTGTGTGGTTTTTTTTTCCTTTATTCATTCACAGGATGAGGATGTCTCTGGCTAGACAACATTTATTGCCCTCTGGGCAATTCGGAGTCAACCACATTGCTGTGGGTCTGGATTCACGTGTAGGCCAGACCAGGTAGGGACAGCAGTTTCCTTCCCTAAAGGACATTAGTGAACCAGATGGGTTTTTCCAACAATCAACAATGGATTCACAGTCATCATTAGATTGTTAATTCCAGATATTTATTGAATTCAAATTCCACCATCTGCCATGGCGGGATTCGAACCCGGGTCCCCAGAACATTATCTGGGTCTTTGGATTAACAGTCCAGCAATAATACCACTAGGCCATTGCCATAGGTCCAAAGCATTGTGAGGAGCATTAGGTTTGCAATGTATCATGGGGGCACAGAGTCGTACAGCACAGAAGAAACTGTTTGGCCCATTAAGTCTGCACCAACCTGTCTTCACACTTTCAACCACTTGACTCATTGCTTCAAATGTTATGACATTTCGAGCGCTCATCTGCCTACTTTTCTAAAGGCTGTGACGTTGCCCCACTCCACTGCTTTTCCAGGAAGTGACTTCCAGATTACCACCACCTTCTTGGTGAAAACGGTTTTCCTCCAATCCCCTCTAAACCTTCTGCCCTTCACCTTCACCTCCCAACCTCGATCTCAAACACATTAAAATGTTGAGAAAGGGAAAAGAAAGACTTGCATTTACACTGGATCTCCAAGACTGCAGGATGTCCTATGGTGCTTAACAGACAGACAAGCACTTTGGAAGCATATTCACTGCTGTAATGTATCCATTACCACCCACACACACACACACACACACACACACACACACACACACAGCCCCCACTGCCCCGGGAGCTCCCACAAATAGCATTAAAATGCATCATCAGATCAGCTGTTTTAGGCGTAACTTGGGAGGTAAGGTCAGGACATGAGGGAGAACCTCATTGCTCTACTGCACATTCTGTCCTGGCATTTTTGATGTCCAACTGAGTGGGCACAAAGAGCCTTGGCATAGAGTCTCACCCGAAAGATAGCACGTCCAACACTGCAGTACTCCCTCAGTATGACACCAGGAATGTCAGCCTAGATTATGTGTTCAAGTCTCCAGAGTAGGACTTGAAAAGACTTTAGATATAAAGGTGCAACCCACTGATCCAAGGATGGCACCTTTAAATTCAGGTCTTGTCAATCTGCAGTCAGGGCAACTGTGTCGTGTATTACAAATGAATTCTCCTGGTACAGAACTTGGTGTAATAGGAATGTTCATCCTGAAATCAGGCTGACGTCAGTTCATGATGCACATATTTTTGGAAGTAAATCGGTAACTCGGTTTTCCCTTTTAGTGTTGACCCACAGTGAATTCACATTTCACTAGCATATCTGCCCACGACAGTAATACACCATCCACCAGGGCCAGGGGCAGAAATTGCAGACCCCAGTGTCGTTTTTGGTTGAGGCATAATCTCAGAGTACTAAGATGCAGTCAAAGAGGAATTTCTTCTCTCAGAGGGTTGTAAATTGGTGGAATTCATTACCGCAGAGGGCTGTCGAATCTGGATCATTAAGTACATTCAAACCTGAGATTTTTAACCAGGAAGGGAATCAAGAGTTATGGGAAAAAGGCAGGAAAATGGAACCAAGGATTATTGGATCAGCCATGATGTCATTGAATGGCAGAGAAGATTTGATGGGCTGAATGGACTGTTTCTGCTCCCAGGTCTTATGGTCCAGGCCCCCAGACCCAAGCACAGTGATCCTGCCTTCCTAACCTGGGCACTGCACCCCTCTGCAGCCTCAGTCCTTGGGCTCTGGTGTATATTGCCGTACTGTACACTGATGCCCACACCCTGTCCAAATGCTGGGAATTGCCATACCGTGCTGTTTAAGGGGCTCCGTTGTAATTCGATCGGGATAAGACTTCCGTAGTCCCTCCATGACATCTTGAATTTTCCACAGCTCCTTCTGAATGTGCTTGTGCCCCACCTCATCCTGAAAAAAATGATTACAAACCCCAGGTCAGACTCCCTTCCCATGCCTTGACTGAAATCACATCCTCGATTAGCTTCCTCCACAGGAGCGGAAAGTGCTATGAAGCGAAATTCAAAATCATTTAGAGTGCTTGATTGCACAGTTACAGTAGGCTTTATCTTGATGAATTAGGATGGGCGAGAAGATTAATGGGCTAACCTTGCACTTAGCCCTCTCCAACGTTTCTTCGATGTGGATGATAATTGATTATTTTACCAGTTTACCTTTGCTTATGAGTTTATGGCAGTGTTACCTGCATTCCCATGGGGCTGTTCAGCTGCTCCCATAAGTCATTGTGAATGATGGACAGCTCCATTTTGAGGGCATCGCACTCCATCTTTGTGTTTGCAAAGGCCTAAAATGCATGCAACGCACAAAGCAGGACCAGAATACAAGTCAATACTATTTTCTTGTGAAAAAATCTCGACGCGTCATTAAAGAAACAAGTACATTCTATAATTACCATGTGTTTTTACATCTCTAACTGGCTTCCAACTTCACAGATGTTGTCATCAATAAGCCATGGCTGTAGTAATAAACAGGGACGCATGGTCTTGGAGGTAGCGCTCGCTACTAAAATAGCTGAGATTTGCTTATACCTCTGTTGCTAACTGTGCAAATGCAGGCTGGTTTGCCTGTTGTGGGGGGCAGCTATGTTTGTTTTGATTTAAAAGTGTTGAATCACTCTTGTCCAGGCCAGTCTCCGTTCTGAATTTGCTTCAGTCAACCGGGCAAGGTATGAACACCTAGCAACGTGCCTGCATTATCTAGCAAACGCACGCTCCTTTCCAACGCTTTCAATTAGGCCAAGTGCCAAACTCCCAAGACTGCCAAGACAGTCAAGCCTCACGGGTCAAACACAACTGCAGACCCCCAGCCCCTCCTCCAGCCCTCGTGACCTCGCGCTAACTCAGCTCCCGTACCGTGGTTGCTTGCGAGAGTTCCCCGCGAATGTTGATCAACTGATTCTGTAGAGACTCTTTTTTCTGTACGAGTTGCTCAGTGTAACCTGGCTGGTTAGGGTACATCTCCATTTCCCGGTGGGTTTTCTCCAAGGCACTTTCCAGGGATTCCTGCAGTACGAAAGGAACAGCCAAGAAAATGCTCTGATTTGGATTCAACTATCATTAAAAAAAAACACTCTTTTTTCTCTTTTGCCCGCAGCAAGTAGCTGATGGGGCAGATAGGGACATTGAGGAACTTCAGGTATAGAAAGGACACAGATTCAATAAGCATGCTGTGGCTATGTGCAAGTTCTGTCCTGATTGGGAGTGATTGAGTCAGCCCCAAGCCCTCTCCTCCCCGCCCATCAATCATCCCAGAAACCATCACCATTTGTACCACATAATTATCCTCCACTCACAGAATAATGCTGCTTTTATGAAGAGTGTTTGGGGTGACTGCAGTCATATGTGTGCTATTTGCTGCAGTACATATAAAGACTCTACCTTGTTTAAAATAGGGAATCCATGTGAATCTGAGAAAGCGAGAAAAAGAGGCAAAGAGGATAGAGAAATAGAAAAGAGTCAAGAGAGAAGGACAGATGTACAGAGAGGAAGGGAGAGATCAAGAAAGGAGGACAGAGAAAGAGTCAGAGAGATAAAGGCAGAGAGAGTAAAGGTATCATGGACAAAATGGCACATAAACAGTTAACATTCATATCTAATTTATATTGTAGTTCAACACAGCTGACACGACTGCCTGTCATTTTTGACGTTTCAAAGAGAAACAGTCTGTAACCACAATAAACGTACAGTATACTGATGCTTATGTTCATTTCTCAAACCTCGAAAGTATTTAATTTAACAAAGTCTGAAGTCAGTCTACAAGGTGTGCACATTCTAGCCAGTTGTCCAAATCCCTGGACATATTGCATGGAACCGAGCCATTGGGCAGGAAGGGTACAAGGGCAATGTGGACAAAGGGCCCTCCTTTACCAATGGTCCAAGAAAGCGGACATGAGGAAGCTATCCAGGGAGCTACAAAACATTAGGGTACCTTCTCCTTCCGAAGCTGCAGGACCCATTTCTCCTGATCCCGTTGGTTCTTGCTCTGCTCACAAAGTCGCCCCAGCAGTTTCTGTTTCCCAAAAGAATAATGAAAATGAAGTCAACGTTGAGACAAGCTTCTGACAGAGACTGCAATAAGTTAAACATTTGCAAATCTTGCAAGCATCAGATGTAGTCAATTAACACTGTGCTACCTCATACATTCATCCACAGAAATGGCTCCTGCTGCAAATGATCAGATTGTGTGATCATTAATAGTGTTATATTCATTCCATTGTTATGGTTAAGCATAAACATGTGGAGGGTTGGGATTGATTAAGAATCTTGAACAGTAATTTAGGAGACTGTTCTCCTCAATACTTGATTGCAATACAGTTCCAAGCTCCAGATCGTTGGATACTAGTTGTGGAGGAGGGCAGGCGAATCAATGGACCTGCTCCTGAACTTTGTCAAGGTGGCCACTGGCACTTCTAGGTATTGGGTTGCAGTGGAAGTTATTAGAAGTGACTACCTGCCTGGTGAGGGAGCACCCAGTGTCCAATGGCACGCTTTCCATCACGTGTGGGCACCACATGGGCTGGGAGTGTCTGATCTCCTTCCAAAACCAAATCTTAATTTAATTAATCAAGTTTCCTTCAGAATTTTGTCTTTGTTGGTGGGGCTGTGAACTAATTATTTTGGTTCATTAGGCAATCATTTTCTCAAAGGTGTATATAAAGAGCCAGCTGACACTGGGACGATGATAGGTAGAAGGCAGAGATGTTTGATAGGAGATAGACATAGTTCTTAGGACTAAAGGGATCATTGAATATGGGAGGAAAGTGGGAACGGGGGACTGAGTTGGATGATCTGCCATGATTTTGTTGAATAGCAGAGCAGGCTCGAGGGGCTGAATAGCCTACTCCTGCTCCTATATACTATGTTTCCATGTTTCTATATGTAATGCTGCATTCTGTGAATAAATCTTCTACCAGGAAAAGAATCTGTGACTAGATTCATATTAGTGCCTTGTTAGATCCATTTAAGCACAGGTAATGTGCAGGTAACTTCAGCATGAGTCATTCAGATTCTGATTGCCATTGCACCATCAGATACTGTTCAGAGGAGAAGAGGCAAAACCCAGCCACCAACCCCCGCCCCACCCTGCCCTCGCAGTCAGGAGAAATCACAAGCAAAGCTGGGGATACTCTTGTGAATCTCACGGTAGTGGTATCCTCCACCTGTCAACATTTTTTCAACTTCTGTGGACATTGGCTCAGACATAGGTGCATTTCGATGGTCTACATTCATCCCAGAGCGGTCACTCCTTCAAATGCGAGCAAAATGTAGCTGCAGGCCATTCAACCATGGAGGCATCATCATTGAGCCTAAGGCACTGTTGGCTGCTCATTGCCTTCACTGTCCAAGAACAGGATCACTAGGTTAAAGAAACAGAAGCAGAAAGCGCAGACAATCACCAAAAACCTGTCCCTGCCCCATCTCCTTTGCCCCAAACTGAATCCCTCTCATCACCTGGAGCTTGTTTTCCTCTCTGGGATGAACATTAGACCTTGGAAAGATCCAATCACACACTGAGCAGTGTACAAACCAACCGAGATATTTGGAGATTGGAACACTTTAATATTAAGGAGGAGAGGAAAGAAAAACACTGTGCACAGAAAATCACCATCATTTCTTCCTGATTTCTTCCTGTCCCCGTGTCCAGCTGCAACTATAAGGGGAGCAGGGGAGGCAACGGACATGATCCCCACACCCCCATCCTCCCAAAAAGGCCCAGTCTTTGTTCTGATTGGATACTATTGTCCCTCTTTGCCTGGCTTGAGGTTGTGCAATTACTCCCCGGTGAACCCTTTGGTACCAACAGTATTCCTTGTGCTTGGTTTAAGGTGGCAGGTTGCTGTCAATTGGATATCAATAGCTTAGTACAAGACAGCAACCCTACAGAGACAGTGCGTTTGCCTGTTAAACCCTTGCTGTCAAATCATGTCAGAATCTAGCATTGTAGAAATAATCTTTCTAAAGGAGACTGGTAATTATATGTGCAACTCACGTCAATCTCCACTTCGTCAACTTTGTAATGCTCCAGTGGGTCCTGGAATCTGTCCTGATATGGAACCTACAAACATCAGACATTCATCAGGGTCTTGACTGCATTGTCGCACAGGGTTAATTTATAGCTGCCAATTCTGTACTGTTTTAAAGTTGAAGTCACTAGATGCTGCTTCCTTGCTTACCCCTGCTAATTGTTGGCATCGATAGCAAGCCAATTCCCCAATGTCATGTTCTGCAATCTAACACGGCCATCAAAACTTCAGTCAAATGGAGACAGAACCACGGTCATGGTTAGAAAGAGTATTCACTTGATTCGAATCAGGAGGAACACGCTCCACTTTCTGCCCCACTTTAGTGACAAACCCTAATTGTTACTACATGGCAGTCTAATTCACTATGATGGTGTAGAATCCTGATGCACCAAACAGCCTTCTCATTGCAACACAAGAAATATGGACAACAGGGTTGTCATTTGGCCCCTTGAGCCCGAGCTGTAATTCAACCAAACCAGGGCTGACTTGTCACTTCAGTTCCACTTGTCCACAGTATCCAAATATCCCCTGAAAAACTATTCTTCTGAAAACCAAAGATTGCAGTGCGGAATATGGTTGATAGCTGAGCATCCACAGGTAAGGTGATTCCAAACATTCGCAAACATTTGAGTGAAATAATTTCTCCTGAACGACCAACCATTTGTTCTGAGACTGTGACCTCTTGTTCTAAACTAACAAACTAGTGGAAACATCCTCCCACCCGGTCCAGCTCCTTAAGAATTTTATATTGTTTTTGTGGGAGATTGATTTTCACCTTCAAATCTAGGGAATGGCTACTCAAACGAGAACAGAAATTGCTGGAGAAACTCAGCAGGTCTGGCAGCATCTGCGCGAAGGAAAGCAGAGTTAACGTTTCACACCCACCGACCCTTAGCCAGTCAAAGAGTCATACAGCATGGAAACAGACCCTTTGGTCCAATCAGTCCATGCTGAACATAATCCCAAACTAAAGTAGTCCCACCTGCCTGCGCTTGGCCTATATCGCTCCAAATACTTCTTATTCATGTACTTATCTAAATGTCTTTTAAACATTGTAACTGTACCCGCATCCACCACTCCCCCCGAAGTTCATTCAAGTCTTGAACTACTTTGTGTAAAAAAACTGCCCCTCATGACTTTTTTAAAATCTTTCTCCTCTCATAAGAATATACCCACCCCCAATCTTGAAAGCCCCAGCTTACCAAAAATACATCTGCCATTCACCGATCTATACCCCTCATTATTTTATAAAGTTCTATAAGCTCAGTTCTCAACCTCCCATGCTCCAATGGGAGAGTCCCAGCCTATCCAACCTCTCCTTATAACTCAAACACTCCATTCCTGGCAACATTCTGGGAAATCTCTGCTAAACCCTGTCCAGCCTAATAATATCCTTCCTATAACAGGGAGACCAGAACTGGACACAGTACTCAGAACCTTCTTCAAGAACTTCTACAATCCCCTATCAGGGATGGATTCACTCACTGTCATTCTGTGAATCTGACTGCATCAGTTCCTTTCTCATTCTGTTTTCAGTGCAGAGAATTATAATGAACCGTCTCCTGTCATTCCCTCCAATAACAACTGGAGAATTCCAATAGCTCAAGCGTTCTATCATCGCCTGCACTTGTCAGTACAGAAACAAACTCCTCGTTCACTATGTTGAGGTCCCCATCCAGTTGGACAATCTCCTTATTCAAAGGGAACAAACAGCAATTACTGTGTTATTACTCATATACTACACAGGCTTTTTATCACATTTGAAAACATCTGTACAATACATGTCTTTGTTCAGTGTTTTCTGCTATCAGCCATTAGGTGGACCTGCCAAGTGGGTAGGTAAATAGTCTGTGAAATGAAAAACATCAATTAATCCTAGTTTAGGTACACAATGACTTGGGGATATTCGAAACGTCTTATTCACAGGTCACCTATTTAAGCAAATCCTAAAACTGTCACATCTGTCAATATGCTCCAATTACACAACTACCTAAGCAGCTGACTAGCCTCTAGAAATTAAACCCAGTTGGTGACCCATGTTTAATTCCAGGTTCTACAGAAGTAAACAATCTTCAATCCACATTCATCCCAAAAGGCTGATATTAATAATAGTGATTTCAGTAGACGACACAAACTCTTGATACGGCTACTGTGCTGTTTCAAACATTATACTTTAAATATCCAAGTTTGCCTCATAACATACATTGTACACAAAAATCAGCAAGAACAAACTCAGGACAAAACTGAAGGAAATCACTCGTATCCATGATACGCCCTCTGGATTTTCATTTCCACATTGCTGAGGCAAGCCACCTTGCAAAATCATCCGCAAAATCACAGCTTATGTTCTTAAAAAGGTCTGCTGAGCAATAGCATTACACAAACGCACACATATACACACGAGTTCAAGAATTAAACATGTTTAATTCACATATTTATTGTTTGAACTCGTAATCTGAACAGTACACTGCAGCCACCAAACAGAGCAATGTGTTGTAGCAAAGTAGTTATGGGTAACACAAAGAAAACTCTTCAATGAGCAGCTCATTATATAACAGAAGCTGTGTGTTCTCAGCATGTTATATACAGTGAGGACTGCAATGTCTCCAACTGTTGTAATCATTTGATTAGAAACATATATTCACCTCTTTTCCTTCCTGCTACAGAGCCTGGACAAAGAAAGCTGCCAATCCCCAGGAATTAACACAACTGTGTAGAGGAGACAAGCCAGATAAAAGGAGTTCACAATTTGGAAAAGTAACTGCAGAAAGGTTACAACACAGGAGGAGACCATTTGGCCCACTGCATCTGAATTGGCTCTCCAAAGGAGCAACTGACTTAGTGCCACTTCCTTGCCTTCTCCCCATAATCCTGCACATTCTGCCTTTTCAGATAACAATCCAATTTCTTCTTGAAAGCTTTGAACCTGGCTCCACAACACTAGTCTCCCCAGGAGCAGAAGGTTTAGAGGGGAAGTAAGGAAAAACATTCTCACCCAGAAGGTGATGGGAATCTGGAACTCGCTACCTGTCAGGGTGGTAGAGGCAGAAACACCCATCACATTTAGAAAGTATTTAGATGTGTACTTGTGATGCCAATGCATACAAGGCTAAGCACCAAGTGCTGGAAAATGAGATTAGAATAGTTAGATGGCTGGTTTTGACTGGTGCGGAAATGAGGGCCTTTTTCTGTGCTTAGATCTCCCTGATTCTATGACACTCTGAGACACCTTGTTGCAGATACCAGTGTCTCATTGCATGATGAGGTTTTTCCCCATGTTGCCATTGCTTCTTTTGCCAATCTGGTTCACGAATGTCCTTTAGGGAAGGAAACTGCCATCTTTACCTGGTCTGGCCTACATCCGAGTCCTCACCCACTTAACTACCCTCTGGGCAATCAGGGATGGGCAATAAATGCTAGACTAGCCAGTGATCCCTTGAATGATTTTTAAAAGAAAAAAAATCACCTTAAATCTGTGCCTTCTTGTCCTCAATCTTTTTACCATTTGGAACCACTTCTCTACTGACCCCTTACGATTCTGAATACGTCAAAGATATTTTCTAATCAACCCAGAGATGTCAATACATACCTCTGAAGAAAGTGGACTTGAACCTGGTCTCTGGCTGAAAGGAGACTGGCTGTAGGTAATAGCAAGTACATCAGGGGTGAATGGCCTCCTGCTGAGCTGTAACAATGCTGTGACTCTACAATTCTCAATTCGCTGCCAGAAGACTCTCAGGACAAAACTAAAGGAAATCACTCGTATCCATGATACGCCCTCTGGATTTTCATTTCCATCAATATTTGTAACAAATAATACTCCAATATTATCAACTGGCTTTATTCAGTGTGAAACATGTTTTACCTTTGAACTTGGAACTCCTCAGTTGGCAGTCTGCATTCCTGTATATCATTTTACAATTCACTGGCATATTTCAGGTGTCAAAATGCTTCAAGGCAGGGAATCTCAGAGAGATTCATGTATTTATAGTAATCTAATCCCTTGTCCAGAGAATAATGGCCGGTTTTGAAGTTTTAAGTTAATTATCTCCTAATCAAGTAAACAAAGGATACTCTGCCTCATTGTCACCTATACTCAAAATGGCCACTTACAAATCAACAGGTTCAACAAGCAGAAGACAACAGCAAAAGAGAGGGGAGAAGATAAAGAGGGAGTTTTTTCTAACCAAGTCTGAAACATGCTGCTTGAAAGGGTAATGGAAGCTGGTTCAGTGAAAAAGTTTGAAAAAAAAATAGTTAACTATTTCAGGGAAATATTTAGCAGAGCTATGGAAGTAGATCAGGGGGCTGGAACTATTTGATGTTTTTTTCAGACAATCATCACAGTGCTACATTGAGCAGGATGGGGTGGGGTTGATTAGCTCAGCTGGCTGGACAGCTGATTTACAAAGCAGAGTGATGCCAAGAGCATGGGTTCAATTCTCATACCAGGTGAAATTACCACAAAGAGACTCCCTTTCTCAACCTCCCCTCACCCAAGGTGTAGTAACCCTTAGATAAAACCAAAACCAGTTATCTCTCTCTAAGAGTAGGACTATGGTGACCTTACATTGGCTGAATGATCTTTCTATGTTTCATGATTCTCCAGTTTGAGACATATTATGAAACATGATAAGGTGCTGTGTAAGTACAAGCTTTTTGTGGTTATTATTGATTGAAATTTGAGGGAAAGTTGCTTATGTGAAGGAATAAATGTGGCACATTTATTTGCAATGATACTGAGCATGGCAACAAATAATGAACAGAATTATGAGCCATAAAATCAACGATGCTGAATTGGAAAGTGAATGAAAACTTGCCGGTTTCAGTCGTGGTTCATTCAAAACATACTAATTAATACCTTTATAGGGTCAGGGATTGAAAATAATCCTCAGCAATTCAAGAGGGAAGATGGTGATTTAGTTCAAATTAAATGGTGCTACAAAACAGTATCACTTTATGAATTCCAGTCGTGTTTTCATACATAGAAACCGACTGCAGAGCAGTGGATGAGCCAAACGTAGCATTCACT